GGCCCCCTAGACTCCTCCCAAGCTCTTCTGTCACGCAGTCTCCCTGGTGCTGAGTCCTCAGGGTTGAGGGAGAGGGAGGCGGTGGTGAACAGCGATGGTGAATAGCTATCTTGCAGAAACCAAAATGCGTGGTTTGCGCACATGAACCCAGCTTGGCCTCTGGCATTCCTAGGGCCTGGACTCCATAAATAATGCGAGTTGTAAAGCCAGCTCTCCTTATAGCCCTGAGGCCTGCTTGCTACACAAAATGGGAACCCAAGTAACCCACACACACTCACAAAGACACACAGGCACACGCACACACGCTCACACATGCACACCAGAAATCTGCTGCTTCTGTTTGTGCACGTATCTGTCATCCCCTTCTGACCCTCTACTCCCTCTCTCACTCTCCTCTTTCCAATTTACTTTTCCATCGTTATCGTGGCTGGGCACCCTTTCTCTCCCCAGATGCTGTTCTTGCAACCTTCCCCTCTTCTGGGGGACTCAGGAGCAGGTGATAACTTCTGCTCCCATCTCCTTTCTCCCCTTCCCATGCCCCTTTAGCTCCCTTTCTTGGGGAGACGTATCATAGCCAAGGGCTGCAGACACCTGCAGCCCACCCACCTGGGCGTAGAACAGAAAGACGCGCCCTCATCTCACCGAGAGCCCCACCCCTCCCACCTCAACCAGGCAGGAGTCCAGCAGGGACAGTGAATTTCTGCCTGCCAGCCTGGACAACCAGCAGGACTTGTTCCCTCCAAAGTCACCAAAGCTGCACCCAGGAATGTAGCAGGAAGGAGGCCACTGCAGCTGAGCTCTAAATGTGGCTAAACAGTGCCCAAGCCCCAGGAGAGGGACCCCTTGTTACCATCAACAGCCACCTTGACTGAGTGTCTCCTGTCAGCCTGATAAAAGAGACATCAGAAAAAGCATTCCTATATGACGAATGCATTTGGGAGTAAACAAAACGGATTAGACTCTGGAAGCATAGCCGTAGCAAGCCATAGGTGCATCTGGAGAGGGGGCAGCAAAGGGAAGCTTTTATTGGCAAAAAGAGAAGTTACATAAGCTGCTTGGAAACAGACTTCATTGGCTGTGGAGGCTCAAAGCTACAGTTGGCACCTGTTCATTGGCGGAGACACCGTTACTGGGCACTGCTCTTTGGAGAACATCTTATCTGAATTGCTGCAGTCCCGAAGAAGGAATTTCTTGGGGGTTGTTTTAGAAAGTCCTTGAGACAGTCCTTATCTCAGATATGCAAGCATCCGTTCCCCTCCTTCATGCCTTTGCGGCTCTAATTCTTTTGGATCTGACAAAAGTGATTTCATCCTGGTATCTGCAACTTTCACACTCCTATAGCTTCCCATTCAGAGTTTATAACATTGATTTCAAGCTAGGAGGCAGATACGCTCATCATTCCCATTTTATATATGGAGAAACGGAGGTTTCAGGAAATCTGCCTGAAGCTGAGGTCTGTTCAGCTCCAAAGCCTGATCCACATGGATGACACGGGCCATGTCTTGGAACTTTGGGTAACCAGATTTGGCCACACGTCACCTCTCCTCTTCCCAGAAGCGCATAACAGAGGTGATACTCAGCTACTGGAATAAGACAGAGTGAAGCCCGCCAGGCTGGAGGCCTTCCGGGAGCTCTCAGCTCTCTCCCACCCGGGAAGGAGGCCCTGTTTCTGTGCCTGTTTCAATCCCTATAGAACTTGGAGTCCTGCGCCTGATCAGAAAGACTTCCCTGCAAGCCACGCCAGTCCATGGGAGCCAGGCATCAGCCCGGGCACCCGTCTGCACCCCTGGCTGGACGGCCCTCTCACCAGGCCGGAACCTGGGGCCCTGGTGGGACTGCAGAGGCAGCTGCTGTTTCCAAATTCTCGGGTGCTATGGCAACAAGAGGTCACTCAGACTGGCGACCTGAACAGAGCTCTCTGCAAGCTCTGCCATTTCCCTGGGAAATATAAAGACCTTCAGCCACTGAAAAGGGAAACACGACCATGTTGGCAGTGACCTCTCAACCTGTACTTGTCCCAGAACGGACAGCCCTGTCACACTCACCCCGGCTGAGTCCTCACAGCAGCCCACAGAGGAGGCAGGCAGCACAGAACAGTACCAGGCCAGCATTACAGAGGGGAAACTGAGGCACAAGGTGTTTGGGAGACAGGTTTTGATGGAGATGGGGATGATGGATGAGTGTGTGGTCACCACGTATGTGCAGCTCTTTTCAAAGAGTCCCTCAAGGAGTTTAAAATGGAGAGAGGGAAGGCGTTGCAGGGAGGGGGTTTCTAACTTGAAAAAGTGACATTTCTAGGCTGTCTTTTTCCCCCATGTCAAACATCATATAGTCAATGCAGAAAACTTGGGAGACAAGTATGCGCCCAGTCACAGATGTCCTCACACACTCACATACCACGTTCACACACACACTTGCACAATTACCTACCGCTGCTTTCCAGAGACAGACGTTTCATGTTTATCCAGCTTGTACTTTATATCTATTTTTATATATTAGATTTTATCCATCTAGTATATTGTATAAATATACAGGTACATGTAATAATTAAACACTTTACATCTACGTATAATTTTTAAACCACAGTCAGGGTTACACTGTGCCTGCTGTGTATTCCTTTTTCTTTTTCTTTTTCTTTTTTTGAGACACAGTCTCACTCTGTCACCCAGGTTGGAGTGCAGTGGTGCAATTTCGGCTCACTGCAACCTCCGCCTCCCGGGTTCAAGCGATTCTCCTGCCTCAGCCTCTCGATTAGCTGGGATTACAGGCACACGCCACCATGCCCAGCTAATTTGTTGTATTTTTAGTAGAGACAGGGTTTCACCATGTTAGTCAGGATGGTCTCGATCTCCTGACCTCGTGATTCGCCCTCCTTGGCTTGCCAAAGTGCTGGGATTACAGGCGTGAGCCACTGCGCCCAGCCCACGTCCAGGTAATTTTTCGGTATTTTTGGTAGAGATGAGGTTTCCCCATGTTGCCCAGGCTGGTCTCAAACTCCTGAGCTCAAGCCTTTTGCCCACCTCGGCCTCCCAAAGTGTCGGGATTACAGGTGTGAGCCACCACACCCAGCCTGTTTATGTTTTTACGTAATCCTGTTTTAGAGAGATTCTTTTTCCCTCTCAATTGCATCTCCGTAACCTGAACTTTGCATATTTACCAGGCATTGATTCGGCCAACCATAGATGGAAGAGTGGGGTTGGAAAATGTTGGTAGATGGATTTATTTATTTATTTATTTGGTCTATAGGGACCACTCCAGAAACTGCTTTTGGTGTCTTAAGAAATGAAGCTGAGTTCCATTTATCCTAAGAAAATAAATCACCTGGTTGCCCAAAGGTGACTGCCGCTGTGTTGCTTACAATAGCGAAAAATTGGAAACGAACCCCATGCCCATCAGTGGGAGGCAGGTGAAATAAATTACGGAGCCTCCTTCTGATGAATCCCTCGCAGCAAAAAGGTACTGCAGGTCTCTACTGAGATGGAAAGATGTCCTCCACAGCGAAAGCAAACAGGCATGTCACAAAATGCGTGCACCCTGTAAGCAGGCGGGTCTGTGTCTGTTTGTAAGTGTGGCTTTTCTGTATCCCAAAGAATATTTAACAGCTGGCTGTCCCTGAGTGGTGTCAATGGAGAAAAATGAAGAGACAGGTCTCAGTCATTTTCGGAGGTGTATTTGTCGAAGTTAAGGACGCATGCCCGGGAGACAGAGCTACGCCTCTCTCCGAAGATGATTTCGAGGGCTCCAAATTTAAAGGGGAAAGGACAAGATATTGACAAGCACACAGTTTTCATATAAGAGGGGAATGGTGATAAATAACCATGCGTGCCTTTGTCTGGCCCAAAGAATCTGCATTTTTATGTAAGGTAACATAGTCAGATGGGGAAAACCCAGGGAATCGGCGTTTTTACATAAGATTTTGAGTAGAATCTTATAAATGGGGCAGGGGAATAGTCAGATATGCATTTGTGCCAGATGAGCAGAGGGGTGAATACTGTGTGAAGATAAGCTAGCCATCTACATTGCCACGGTGAATTTTAACAGACATGCTTTAGGGTAAATATCTCGGAGCTCACTAGGAATTTCCTTGTGGGCCACATATGAGGGAGGTGTGTAACTGTTCATCTTGAAGCCATCTTATGCAACTGTTCCCAGCTTGACTTTTCCCTTTGGCTTAATGAGTTCGGGGTCCCAAGATTTATTTTTGTTGGAAATAGTTGCTCAGTGCCGCAAAGAAAAATTAGCACAGAGACAAAGGATCTTTTAGCCACGCAATTTTTACTTCCTGGACTGCAGGAAGGCTGCTCTCACTAGCCATTTTGCCATGAGAGTACAATATACAAAGAAAAACACACAAACTTATTTGTTACGCATTTGGGGTCTTCCTTACTGCTGGGTCTGATCTCGGTTGGCTGGAACCAGACCTCACAATCTAAACTAAAACCCGATTAGCTAATAACTTAAAACTTTTTAAAACAGGTAAAAGCAATGGAGAGCTGGGACATGCCTGTGAGCACGTCCAGATATCCTCACAGTCAGGTGCTCACAGTCTCTGCTGCCTCCGGGGACCAGCCTGAGCAGCTCTGCACATTGGCCAGCACAGATATCTTGGTTAAAGTACAAGGACATAGAGTGTGTTCTTACGTGCCTGTGAGCACGGCATGTCTAACAGCTGCATAGGATAGGGCTTAACAAAGAGTTATTGGCACACTCATTTTTTAACAAGAAAGGCAACTTTAAAAAGGAGCTTTTCTATTTCCCACGATTTTCTTTTCACAGCTGTATGGGGTGATCTTCATTTCCTGTTTTATTTTTTTCTGGCACAAGGTTTTTCTTTTCTTTCCATAGATGACTTCTGTGGTGGGAGCAAGGGCAGAAAAACAAAAAAAGCCAAAAGCCATTTTGATTTAGAAGAGAAGAAATGCGCGGGGGGACCTCGTCCTCTGCCTCCGGCCGGGGGTGCAGCCTGGTCCCCCAGCGTGGCCTGCGCTTGTGTGTTGCAGACTCCGACAGCCAGTGCAGCCCGACCCGGCAGAGCCTCAGCCTGTCGGAAGGCGAGGAGCAGATGGACCGGCTGCAGCAGGTGGAGCTGGTGAGGACCACCCCCATGTCCCACTGGAAGGCGGGCACCGTCCAGGCCTGGCTGGAGATGGTGATGGCCATGCCCATGTACGTCAAGGCCTGCGCGGAGAATGTGAAGAGCGGGAAGGTAGGCGACCCCGGCCCCTGTGGGACGTCCTCCATTCCCTGCGTGAGCTTTATGCACCCAGAAGCTGGCCTGCCCCCGGCTCCCACCCTGGAGTCAGGAGAAGGCGCAATCTAGGAGCCGGCCAATGCCATCAACCTCCGATGTACCTGCTCAGTCACTGTGCCGCCCTGGCAAGGCACAGAGCCCTTCTGAGCCCCAGCTGCCTCATCCTGAAAATGGGCTCAAGCTTTGTTTACCTGCCAAAGGGAAAGGGCTCTTTCTGCCGGGATGGGAATTCCGGCCCACGTCACAGCTGCAGAGGTTTCCATGTGCCCTGACCCCACTGTAGGAAAGGTGGCTAGGAGACAGGAAGGAGCCCCCCACCAACACACCCCCTCTAGGGCAGGAACCCCGCAGCCCCCACATGACCCTCCCTTCCGGGGGCAGGTGCTGCTGAGCCTGAGTGACGAGGACCTGCAGCTGGGCCTGGGCGTCTGCAGCTCCCTGCACCGGCGGAAGCTGCGCCTGGCCATCGAGGACTATCGCGACGCCGAGGCAGGCCGCAGGTGAGGCCACCACGAGGGGCCCCGGGGGAGGAGGGAGAAAAGTCCTCCTGAGGCCTTTGGTCACACAGGTGGGGGAGTGGGGCACTACGGGCTGGGCCAGGTGTGGGGGACATGGGGCTGTGACTAAGATGGTCTGGGGATGCCCCTGAGGAGGGGGCTGGGGCACACCCCTGCACTGCTCTGGACCAGCCCCCTCCGTAGAGAGACAGACACACCTAGATGAGAGGCCCCAAATGCCCTAGGACACCCCCCAACCAATGCGGGAGCCTCACCAGCCCCCAGAACTCCTCTGCCCCCGGGGACCAGCCTGAGCAGCTCTGCGCACTGGCCACAATGACGTCTGCTGCTGGCTCTTACTGTTCCAGGGCGAGGAAAGACAGCGAGGCAGAGCAGAGGCTGGCAGAGATCAAACAAGCACCAAGGGGCCGGGCGGGGCAGGGGGGCTTCTCTTGGTGGGCATACCTGGGTGCGGCATGGCAGGGCCTTCCCATCAGGTGTACCCCGCAGGCCACCCGTCCCCGCCTCTCACCCTTGGCCTGCCTGCCTCTCTCCTAACTTTCTGTGAGCAAAATTTGTTGAGCAGGGGTGGCTGCAGGGTAAAAGGAAGAAACCTCACCCCCACCCCGCCCCACCCCGTTCTGAGTATGTGGAGAGGGGAGGAACTCACTTTGTAAATCTGACACTTCTGTTTTGCATAATTATGTCCTTCACTGGTTTCCCTATCATTTTTGTGCAGTTAATTAATCAAACCTGGTGGTGTGTGCTGTAATTTGCAGAAGCAGCTTAGTGGATTTTTTTAGAAGCAGGGATTGCGGTGGAAAATCGGGTTGGTTTGGGAGCAGGAAAACCAAATCCATGTGTATGCTGGAGAGGGGCCCTTAGCATGATTCTCGGGTGGCAGGAAGTGCCGAGGTGAGACTGGACCAGAAACACAGGGATCGACTCAGACAGAGAAAGTGCCAGGCCTCAGTGGTACCATCAGGACACCGGCCCACCCTAGACAGGGCTAGGTTGAGGGACCGGGGAGGGGTCATGAGGGCAACCCATGCTGGGCTTCCCACCTCCTAACCAGTTCCATCCCAAAGCCCCTCACCATCCTTGGTTACCCAAGTTGGAAATTCCTCCTGCCCCCTTGCCCCACACCCAGCAGGGTCCATAAACACTGCCTGTGTTCACTGAACAGGGTGGGGATGGCTGCTTCACCTCTCAAAAACTTGAGAAGTCTGGGCTACTGCCTGGGTTCCCCCAAAATGGGGTTTGGGCTGCCATAACAAAATGCCACCCCCCAGGGGCTTAGACAACGGAAACTTCCATCTCACAGTTCTGAGGCTGGAAGTCTGCAGCTGGGAGGCCTGGATGGCTGGGAGCTGGGGAGGGCTTTTTTCTGGCTTGCAGAAGGCAACCTTCTTGCTGTGTCCTCACATGGGGAGGGAGAAAGAGGGAGGGGGAGAGAGTGCTGCCGCTGATCTCTTCCTGGAAGGACAATAATCTCACCATGAAGGGCACCCCTACAGCCTCATCCAATCACCTCCCAAAGGCCCCAGCCCCAAATGGAAGGTTAGGATTTCAGCATATGAATTGGGTTAGGGGGAACATTTAATCCCTAACAGTGGCACCCTGTAACCTCCAGGAAGCAGGAGTCTGTGGTGCCAGGGATCATGGACCCCATGCTTAGACACCCCCAGGGCTTCCTGGAGAAGGCAGAGGCCTTATTTCGAGTTTTCTATTCCCAGTGGGAGTCTGGCCTATCTCCAGTTTGCCACCTGACCTTGCCCTCTCTGGGACTGTTTCCCACCTGGGAAATGAAGGGAGTTAAATTAGGACAGTGGTTTTTAAACTTTCGAGGCTCATGGCCACTTGAGAGAATCTAATGAGAGCTTTTGACACTTTCTCTGCAGGAAATACACAAAACTTCACAGCTTTTCGCTGCACTGGGTTGTTGGGTGGGGGTCCATGGACTCGGGGGTAAGAACTCCAAGTGAGTTCATCTTCAAGAACATTTTCAGCCATGACGTCTTGTGTGCCCATTGGGGAAGATGCTGCCCTCTCTGGGACTGGGCTCTTTATCTACAAAATACCGGTGACAAAACCCACCAACCCCTTGCCAATCTATCATCACCACCTTATGAATATCATTTTATTTATCCTCACATCAACGCAGCGTAGACATGCTTATTCCTGTTTTAAAGATGGAGAAGACTGGGTACAGTGGCTCACGCCTGTAATCCCAGCACTTTGGGAGGCTGAGGCAGCCAGGTTACCTGACATCAGGAGGTCGAGACCAGCCTAACCAACATGGTGAAACCCCGTCTCTACTAAAAATACAAAAATCAGCAGGCGCGGTGGTGGGTGCCTGTAATCCCAGCTACTGGGGAGGCTGAGGCAGGAGAACTGCTTGAATCCAGGAGGCGGAGGTTGCCGTGAGTGGAGATCACGTCATTGCGCTCCAGCCTGGGCAACAAGAGCGAAACTCCATCTCAAAAAAAAAAAAAATTGGAGACAATTGGGTGCAGAGAAATGATGAGCAGAAAGTCACACCACAAAAGACCTGACCAAAGCCATTGCCTTTCCGGTATCCCATGCTGCCTTTGTGTTAAAAACAATAGCAGCTCCTCCTACTACTATTCACGGAACACCAGGTGTGTCCCAGACCCTGTGTTAGGAGTTTTGCATTCTCCACTCTTTGAGTCCCTACAACTCCATGAGGCAAACACGATTCTCCCTCATTTTACAGAGGAAAAAACAGAGACCCAGAGGTTCAAGGTTCCAGAGCTAAAAATAATAGAGCCAGAACAGCCCCTCATCTTCCATGCTGTGCTGTGACCCAGACAATATCTAAATTTTGTGCGTGTTCTCAGATTTCAGAATCTAATCTAACTCCAGTTCAGGGACGGGGCAGTGGCAAATTTTATAAAATGTCTGAATTCCTTTAAAATCATGCTTTTTTTTTTTTCAACTTAGCTCTTATAATAAATAGCTCAAACCAACAGCTGGGAACATATCGCCAAGCTGGGGCCCCATGGGGACAATGTTAATGAAAAGAGAACATTTCTGAAGGGCAGGAGCACATTAATTGTGGGCATGCAGATGGAGATGGCTGATTATGGATGGTCCTCTCTCGAGTAGGTTAAGTGGGGTGACCCCTCCCCAATTCCCCACCCCAACTCTTGTTGCACCACTGATTTGCTGAGCAAACTCTTGCTCCAGAGAGGAGAGGAGCCCGTTCTAGTCTCCATCAGTGACAAAGCTGACCCAGTGGCATCTGATTCAGAGGGCTGTGGGCTCTCTCCACCTCCTGCTGGAGAGAAGGATCCTCCTGTAACAAGGCTGAGCCTGGTCCTTGCAGGGCTGGGAGGGGTACTACCCCAGGACATTTTCATCCTGGAAGGGAGGTTGTCTTGGGCCAGAAGGTTCCGGTTCAGGAGCTCCAGCTGGGCAGCCTCCAGGTGGACTGGGGCAAATGCCCCGCTCACCCAGCCCTGCTCCGTCATCCACACATTCAAATGTGAAACAAGCACTGGTAAGTGTGAACTCTGAGCCTGAAAGGGCCCTGGACATTCACAGATAAGCCACCCCTAGTCCTGCCCTCCAGGAGCTGACTGTCCAGTGAGGCAGCTGGCCAGATGCATAGCCACGAACCACAGTGTGACTGGTCCGGGGATGGGAACTCTCAGGGGCTTCGGGCACAGAGACCCAGCATGGCATCTTGGAAGGCTTCCAGGAGATCAGACATCTCTGCGGAGTCCATAGGAGCTCACCAGGGGAAGAGCGTGGGGTGGAGAACAGGCCGGGAGACAAGGGGCCCCCAGTGGACCCAAGTGGTTCTGGGAGGCCAAGGGGCAGAGGGAAGGAGAGTGAAGCCAAGCTGGGGGCCCACCCTTCTCTCAGCCATTCTTCCAGCGAGCATTCAGTCACCGTCTACTGTGGGCGTAGCAGTGCGCTGTTTGGTAATGAACAGTTTCCGTCCTGGCAGAGCTTATCTGCTAAGGTGGGGAAGAGAGAAAATAAATGAGTGGACGCACCAGTTAATTGCTAAGATTCAATGTGTGATTAGAGCGTTGAAGGAAAGCACTAGGGACAGTGAGCAGACTTGGGGGCAGCTTTAGACAGCGGATTCAGAGGACAGGGAGATTTGACGCCAAAGGGGTGAGGAGGGGTGAGCCCTGGGCGGGGCTGGAAGGAGCCGGGCTGGGAAGGGGAGTTGGGGGGGTGAAGAGCCCCCCGGAGCCCAAGCCCCATGCGCGTTGGGAGAGGGGAAGTCAGCCAGGGCCAGTGCGGTTGACCCTCGTGGAACATGCAAAGGACTTCCGATTTTATTCTTGCAAAGAGAAGCCACAGAGTGTTAAGCAGGGGGGGGTGCATGATCAGA